ATTCATCCAGACCAGTAGGAGGAGCGGGGAGAGAAGGGGCCAGGCAGCCGGGCAGAGAGGACTCACGGCAAGGCAGCAGCTGGAAGACCAGAGTGGGAAAGACAGCGACTGGTGGAGCGGGCAGTCCCACATCTTCGTTAAGAAAACCAGGAGGAACAACTGGGGAGTGAGACAGAGCACACAACCCAGGGTCCCAGTGCAGGAAGTAAAGCCTCAAAGCCTCTGACTGAAAACACCTGTGGGGGTTGAGGCGGTGGGAGAAACTCCAAGCCTCACAGGAGAGTTCATTGGAGAGACCCACGGGGTCCTAGAATGTACACAAATGCACCCACCTGGGAATCAGCACCAGAAGGGTCCAGTTTGCTTGTGGGTAGTGGGGGAAGTGACTGAAAACCAGCAAGAGCCCAGCAAGCAGCACTGTTCCCTCTCGAACACCTCCCCCACATACAGTGTCACATCACAGCTACGTGGCTTGCCCCACCCTGGTGAACGCCTGAGGCTCTGCCCCTTTCTATGTAACAAGTGCGCCAAGGAAAAAAAAAAGGGCATATAAAAGAACAGATCAAAGCTCCAGAAAAAGTACAGCTAAGAGACGAAGGGATAGACAACCTATCAGATGCACAGTTCAAAACACTGGTAATCAAGATGCTCACAGAACTGGTTGAATTTGGTCACAAATTAGAGGGAAAAAAATGAAGGCTACGAAAAGTGAAGTAAAGGAAAATGCAGTGGGAACCAACAGTGATGAGAAGAAAACTGGAACTCAAATCAATGGTTTGGAGCAGAAGGAAGAAAAAAACATTCAGCCAGAATAGAAGGAAGAAATAAGAATTCAAAAAATGAGGAGAGGCTTAGGAACCTTTGGGACATCTTTAAACATTCCAACATCCAAATCATAGGGGTCCCAGAAGGGGAAAAGGAAGAGCAGGAAATTGAAAACTTATTTGAACAAATAATGAAGGAGAACTTCCCCAATCTGGCAAAGTAAATAGACTTTCAGGAAGTCCAGGAAACTCAGAAAGTCCCAAAGAAGTTGGACCCAAAGAGGAACACACCAAGACACATCATAATTACATTACCCAAGATTAAAAATAAGGAGAGAATCCTAGAAGCAGCAAGACAATATGAGAGAGTTACCTACAAGGAAGTGTCTATAAGACTGTCAGCTGATTTCTCCAAAGAGACCTTGCAGGCAAGAAGGGGCTGGAAAGAAATATTCCAAGTCATGAAAGGCAAGGACCTACATCCAAGATTGCTCTATCCAGCAAAGCTTTCAATTAGAATGGAAGAACATATAAAGTGCTTCTCCGATAAGGTCAAGTTAAAGAAGTTCATCATCATGAAGCCTTTATTATATGAAATGTTATAGGGACTTATTTCAGAAAGAGATAAAATATATGAAGAGTAAAGTAACAACAAACTCATAGCTATCAACAACTGAACCTAGAACAAAAACAAAACAAAGCAAACAACTACAACAGGAATAGAATCATAAACATGGAGATCGCATGGCAGGGTTATCAGTGTGGGAGGGGGAGAAGGGGAGAGAAGGTACAGAGAATAAGTAGCATAAATGGTAGGTAGAAAATAGACAGGGGGAGGTTAAGAATAGTTTAGGAAATGGAGAAACCAAAGAACTTATATGTGGGACCATGGACATGAACTAAAGCAGAGGAATGTGGGTGGGAGGGGGTGTGCAGGGCAGAGGAGAATAAGGGGGGAGAACAGGACAACTGTAATAGCATAATCAATACAATATATTTTTGAAAAAAGAAACACTGCGAACAGGCCCAATGTCATGGGCTCCGAGTTAACCAAAGCCAATGTAGCTGCAGCTGCCTCGGAATGTCCACCCTGTCCACACAGAGACCAGTGCTGAGCCCCAATATGGGGCTCTTCCTTTAAAAATATATATAAAAAAGAGAAGAGAGGGAGAGAAACACTGATGTGCTAGAGAGACATTGATTGGCTGCTTCTCACATGCCCCCAAGTGGGGACCGGGACCACAACCCAGGCATGTGCCCCAAATGGGAATCAAACCAGCGATCCTTCAGTTTACAGGACGATGCCCAGCCCACTGAGTCACACCAGTCAGGGCTGGCACTGTTCCTTAAGGAAAGCAATAGGCTGGTTGATGCTAAGGCGACAAGTGTGCTGGTTACAGATTCATTGCCTCTCAGTTCTGTGAAAATATGTCCAGGCCCCTTATTTTCCTTTTGCCAGCTGGCACTGAGGTTTTGCCAGAAGAGGGCAGTGGAGAGACACTGTGGAAGGTCAGGGTTTTGTGCATAGACTCCTGCAGTGCAGGCGGCAGCGGTGCTGGGTGGGGGTGGGGGGCAGCAGCAGAAACGACCCCTGACATCTCCCTCGGGTCCTTGGGTAGCAGAAGACTCTAGAGAGATACCTCCCGGGCACAGTGTCTGTCCCCTGGCACCCTAGATGGCAGATTTCAGGCACGTTCCACCAGCAGCGCACCCCAGTGACTGCTCAACCAGCAAGGGAGCTGGGCGATGCCCTCCCCACAAGGTCTGGGTGTCAGCCAGGAGGAGAGGTGGGAGGGCGGCAACAGCCCTTCATCTCAATCCTAGGAGACTGGCAGCTGTTCCTCATAACTGCTGTTCCCGTATTCCTTAATATTCTTTTTACTTCCTACTAGCCAACCCCTCTTTACTCCAATCTCCTGTTGTAATTAACAATTTGTTATATTAAACATTCCCTGTTCAAAGTGGCATCTCTGTCATTCGTCATACGGACAGATGTTCATTTCAGGTTAAGAGTTTGCCTTCCCTGCTCACAGGGACTCAGGTGCCACCACCGTTGGGCTTATTGCACAAAGCCTAATCCATATGCACAGACCCAACCTAGTACAGCGTCCAACCAGTAAAACAGGTGTGTGAGCAGGTCCCTGATTATGGAACCATTGAATGCATCACACACTACACTTCCAGAAGCAGCCAGGCTCAGAGAACTAGAGCAGCCAAGGCACAGCTGACTCAGAACAGATGGAGTACCATCTGTCAGGATGGAGGTCCCCAGTGGCTTTGGAACATGTCTGGGAACCAATGAGCAAAAGAGTAAGTGGCCCTACTTACCATCACTCCTCGAGATTCATGGTGGGACTTTGTGCTTCCCATCCTGAGGCATGGGAGGTCTTGGTCCCAAAGGGGGAAACTCTTGCCAGGGGACACAGCAAGGTCCCACTAAACTACAAACTACAGCTGATTCCAGGGTCCTACAGACTCTGTGTCCAGCCACCAGCTGGTGAGAAAAGGAGTCACCATCACTAGCCAGAGGAGTCAGAGAGCTACTTATAAAGTAGCTCTGGCAGGGGGGACAGGGAGGAGCACATGGAGAACCCGAGTAGCCCACCAAATGTCTCCTGGCATCCCCTTGCCCCGTGTGACTGGACGCACACTTGCTGTGAGCCTGGCCTCAAAAGGTATCGATTCTCGGCAATCCGAGATGCTTCCTGCCAACTCTTCTCTTTCCTCCTCTTTACAGGTGTCAGTCGTGCATCACAGGGAAACCCCTCATTGCCTTCTTGGGCTCCCTGCCCCTTACTCTCCACAGGCAGGTTCCCCAGTAAATCTCATGCACATCACATTGTTTTGGCATTTGCTTCTCAAGGGACCTGAATTAACTACCAAGCCGTGGACCAAAGGAGCAGTGTGTGGGGGAGGGACAACACTCACAAGGGTTACCTTTGTCAACAAATTCTTCTAACATGAATAATTATAGAATTGTTTTTGTTTTCCTTTAGGTGTCTTTTTCTTTCTGTTATACGCCTATAGCACTGCAACCCGACCCTTTACAGCACTTAGAACATTTGGGAATTTAAAATTTATCTGTGTGGACTGATTAATGGTTCCCTCCCTTTCTATCGATCTCTTTGTCAGGCTCCATGAAGGGCAAGTTCCATGTGTATTCTGTGTATTCTGCTTTTTAGTACCACATGTCCAACTCCCAGCACAATGCTGACCACATAGTAGGGGCTCCAGATTATTCCCTGAATGATTAAGCCTATTCAGAAATACTCATTCTACAGTAAAATTTACTAAGTGTACTAGCAAAAGAACTCTGTTGATGGGACACTATTACGATACATCCAGAAGTCCTGGAGGTTGAGTCTAGAATACAGATAATGATGGACTGTCCAGGGGTGGTCTACCTAGGTCTAATAAGTAGTTGTAGTTGACTTCAGTGCTATGTAGGGTGGGCTTCATGCCCTAAGCAAAACTAAATACCAGTGCTATGGAGATATAACCGGCGTTAGCAGCCATCAGCATGAGGGATTAATGATTTGAAAAGCAGGCCTTGCCTCTTCTGTCTTCTGCACTGACCTGTGTTAGGGCCGTCCTACCCTCTAACATGGCTTGTGGCTGTTAGTCAACCATGATATTATCATGTCTGGAAGGCCAGTGTTAAATCCTTGTCCAGAAGGAAAGAGGATTTCTGATTTTTCCTCATTAGTGGCATAGACACAAAATTTAAGGTTGTGCTTGCTCTCAGGGGCAACTCTGCACCCCAGGCATCTCATTATCCACGTCCACATCCCAGTCCTGCTTTGGGAACCTGATAAAGTGGCACATCCAGGGAGGCCACCCCCAACCTTGATCAATCACACAGAGGCACTTAGAACTGAGAGTTACTGATAAAGGCAGGGAAATATCTACTACACTGCACAGTGAGTAAGTCCATTCAAAACTTAATGGACTACAATGAACATAGGTAGTTTAGAAATGGCATTTCAGAAATCAGGATAACTGTCAGAAAGGATCGATTGAAGGCAAAATACTGAACCCTAATACATTGAATTTAATTACAAATATTTTTGCATACAAAAGGAAAAACACAGAGAAGAGGGACTATTTCAGATTAAAAAAATATCAAGACATACATCAATCACTGCAAAAAATAATACTATACATAATTTCATTTTTCTTATGGATTAAAAGGGTTTATACAAATTCAACTTCATGAACAAAACAAACCACGAGTCGATAATTGTCATAAAGCTTTATTGGTCCAAAGTATTTGCAAGGCAAAATATATCATTGTATGAGTCCGGTTATCAGAATTGGAATGATACCACAATTTAGATTTGTTGTCTACTTCTACAATTAAACCTTTTGGGAGAAGTTATTTCATTTTTCAAACACCTTTCCAGAAATAAAAAGTATAATCACAAAGTATGTTAATTTCCATCCTTAAAATATTTTAAATCACTGGCTAAAAGGTATTGATTGAGACTTAAAAATGCATTTATATCAGAAATCATTTTTACATAGGCAAAGTTGGTAACATGGAAAAGGTCCCAAGCAATTTTTCCAGACAAGTTACAAACTCCTATAAAGTACAGAAGTGCAGTCTAAAGATGTTAAGGCTTTTGGGGACAAAGGACACATCCTTCCTTCCTTAGAGACAGGCTTTAAGCTTTGAAGCCTCTTTCATCTTTTTGACAACAGAAAGGTCCCCCATTCCGTCTGGCCAGTTGTCATGATCTGTTAAGTGAAAAACTTCATGTCACTTGCAAATCTATTAACCTTGTAAGTTTCCCAGTTTGCACCAAACCCTCTTGGTATTTTCCCTGGTTCACTTTTTTTTTTTCTCAGAAAGAAAAAAGAAATTATTAGGACGAATTGCATAGGTTTTGAGAAAATCCTGGATTTGATTCCCAGCTCTGCCACTAAGTAGCTTTTCCGAATTTGGAGAAGTTACTCTTCCTGAGCCTCAGTGTTCACTTCCACTAAAGGGGAATAATCACCTTTATCTTTTAAAGTTGTGAGAATCTAATGTGACACTCTATGTACACCACTTGGCACATTGTAGACCTTTACTAAATATTACTTTCTGAATACTGATGATTTTACCACATACTTACTCTGTACCAGGAGCATCCAGTGGCCTACCCACCATTCAGTCCCTCACCCCTCCTTCCAATAGCCCATTCACACTCAGAACTCCATGAGGTTTGGGGGAAGTGACCTCACTTAGACCTCTGGCTGATGATGGACTGACCTACGCCAACCTATGCACCCCATCCCCTGGCCATGGTTATTGGTTGGGGATGGTCATTTGCATAAACTAGTCCAAAGCAGAGTGGTTCTCAGAATTTTGTTAGAAATATTAAAAGAAAGTAATGACTTTTCTCTTTCTGTCCAGGTGGACGTGAACAAAGCATGTAGCTGTGGGAGCAGCGGGCAGCGACCCTGCAACCAGGAGAGTTAGTCTTAAAGCCAACATGATAGAAGTGAAAAGAGAAGTAAAAGAAAGAAATAGGTCCTTGATGATATCTTTGAGCTGCTGATTCAAGGCAACAAATTCCTTTACCACTCAAGCCAGTTTGAGTTGCATCTGAAAGCATCCTACTGACCCAGGGCTTTAAAAGTGCATCATTGAAGTCAATCCTCCCCACAGCTTATGAAATCAATACTATAAGTGACCCCACTTGATAGAAGAGAAAATGGAGGCTCGCAGAAGTTAATCTTCCTGAGGTCATACAGCTAATAAGGGCAGGGCCACAGTGTGTGTCAGGCATTCTCACTCCAGGGCTGGCAACCTTCATGAAAGCACCGCACCGAAAGGCTGAACATTCCCACTCATAATTTGGGGAGGGTATAAGGTTAAAAAATAGACACGGCTGCTTTCCTTACAAAATTTTAAAAATGCTTTCTGTGTAAACATGTAAGCATTTCTATGTCTCCAACTGAGGTCCTTAAAACCAAAGTATCTTATGTCCCTCGCCACACTGATGTCTTTAGGAAAGACATACATGTGGGAGGAGAAAACAATAAGTAATGTTACAGTTCCACACTAATCAGTTATTAACGCGGGGTCTTTAGCCTTGGTTAGACTGTTAGCACATGAAAGAGCAGGCTGGACCTGGGTCCCTGTTATGAAATTCAAAGATAGATTTTAATTTTCTACTGGCCACTTAATTAACTATGTTGAGTGACAATTTGAATACATTTGAGTTTTATATTTTTTCTATATTTTGGGAGTGATTAGCTTGGATGTGCCATTTAATTTCTGTACCTTTATTTTGTCATTTGTAAAATTAGGGTATTGGACTGACTTTTTAGGGCCGTTTCAAATCCCAGGTTCTCTGGTCTAGCCATGAGGTGCACATATACACAGGTAGATATTTTTGTGTAATATCTGTATTTGGTAAAGCCTTACAAAACTACTGTTGGGTATATCAAAAATGAACACAGAAAATTCATAGCTTTGTTCAATACATATCCCCAAGAGAGTATAAAATAGCACCGTAACACCTCTCCTAATCTAATAGGTCTGACTCTTCTGCTCAGCTGTACTAATCACTTACTAGAGGAAAAACTGAATTCCGTCTATAAACATGGCAACTTTTTGCCTTTATTCTATCTCTTCCTTATACACATATACACATACTGAAAATTCTTTCAAGGTTTAAATTCTACCAACCTATATATATAAAAAAACTTTTTAAATATGTAAAGCTAAGTTTTATAAATAAAGATACTTATATATTTTTGCGACGAGAAACATTTCCTTTAAAAATCGTATCATGAATAGAAACATTTTACATATTCTGAAGCGCTATAAGATAAAACTTACCTCTTAGTTAAGACATTTTGAAAATGTGGACATGAAAAGGCATAAAGTGAGTGACTACTCATTTCTTGACTGCTCACCTGTTATATCATATGCGGGATTATGCAAAGACTGGGCCCCATCCACAGCCACTACCTGTCCAGTGATAAAGGAAGCTGCTGGAGAGAGCAGGAAGCACACCATGGAGGAGACCTGGAGATGGAAACACACACACACAGAAAAGCAGACACATCTGTTTTTGGCTGCTTTCCAATCCTGGGCAAACACATATCAGAGCACATGACTACAACGTGGATTCTATAGTGTATATGCACCATAATCAGTACATAGACGACTGCCTATTTTATTTGAGCATCATGAAAATCAGGTAAGAGGTTAGCGTGAAGATGGTAAGATAGGATGGAGCCTTTGACAGTGTCAGATAAGCTACATGGTGTGAAGAAACCAAAGTAAACATGGGGCTTGGTTTTTGCTCTTCCCCTATTGCAGACAACTCAGTTGGTTCCCTTTCATTGCTCAACACAATGTTAGTTTTCATCACCACCATGTGCCTTTTATATCTGTGTCCCTGAAATAATCGATAACAGTAACATGACACTCTATGGTCCTCCAAACCAAAAGCCCAGCAATTCAGACTAGAGGGGCTTTCTGCAAGATGCATTCCAGAATCCCAGTGTGTCCCCTAAAAATTCAGATAGTTCACTGATCAGTTCAACAACATCCACTCCCCAAACCAAAGACAAAGACAGAAACTATTCCCCTGGATGTGAAGGAACTGGATGTGAGGCTGTTGGCACAGGCTGAGGTTCCCAAAGGGTGATCCTAAGCACCTGGGTCGGAATTCTTAGGAATGCATGAAACTCCAGATCCCTAGACCCTACACGAGAGCTTCTGGTGTGTAAGCTCTGGAGTTGGGGCCCCAGAATCTACCATCTTATCAGGTTCCCAAACAGGGCTGGGACTTGGGTGAGGCTGATGAGGAGCTTCGGGTGCAGCATTTAAGGAGGCACTCACTCTTGGGGCAGACCCAGAACTGGCACAACCCTGAGAGTGAGCACGTTCTTCAATTTTGTGTCTGTGGCTGACTTGCCTCATTCTAGTCCTGGTCCTGTACAAAGCACTGTAGCCATATCTGTGTACCTGGCTATGCCTCTTTGAGACTCCGAGATGCTGGAGGGCAGGCCTAGTTTTCTTTTCATCCTTGTGTCCCCAGCAGCTAGTATGGAACTGAGCTGCCTAAAAAAGGCTATTAGCCATTTGATACTACCAAAAATTTTTCATATGGCTAGTCTGAAGTGAGATGCGCTGAAAGTGTAAAACACACACCAGATTTTGAAGGCTTGATATGAAAAGAGAATGTAACATATCTCATTAATAGTTTTTATATTGATTATATGTTGAAATGGTAATGTTTTAAATATGCTGGGTTAAAACAAATGTATTATTAAAACTGAGTTCACCTCTTTTTACTTTCCTTAAGGTGGCTAATGGAAAGCTTGAAATTACATATGTAACTTATTACTTCTGTTTTTATATTGACAAGTTCCCACCTCCTTGGGGAAGGGTAGAGAGGTCTGAGATGAACCACCAGACTCATTTTACCCTGTTCAACCAGTCAGCGGCAACTGGCTTGTGAACATGTTTTGTTAGTCAACTAATCAGTGAAAGCACCTCAATTCTGAGTCAGCCAGTTAGGAAGACTCTCTCCAATAAGCTCCTTTCTAAATCCAGCCATAGATCTTGCAATTGTGCTCACAGCCACCGTTGCTCTCTAACGCCAGCACCTCCTCTAGCTCTACCAGCTGCAGCCAAGATGCGGAGGGGTAAGTAAAGAGGTCCCTATGCCATGGCTCGTACAGAGCAGACTGCCTGCAAATCAACCAATGGTAAAGCACCAAGGAAGCAACTGGCTACCAAAGCCACTTGCAAGAGTATGCCCTCTACTGGAGGGGTGAAGAAACCTCATTGTTACAGGCCTGGTACTGTGGCACCTCATGAAATTAGACGTTATCAGAAGACCCCTGAACTTCTGATTCACAAACATCCCTTGTAGCATCTGCTGTGAGAAATTGCTCAGGACTTCAACACAGATTTGCACTTCCAGAGTGAAGCTATTGGTGCTTCGCAGAAGGCAAGTGAAGCCTGTCTGGTTGGCCTTTTTGAAGACACCAACCTGTGTGCTGTCCATGCCAAACGTGTAACAATTATGCCAAAAGACATCCAGCTAGGACACCGCATACGTGGAGAACATGCTTAAGAATCCACTATGATGGGAGACATTTCATTTTTTAAAAAAAATTATCTTCTTCCTGTTATTAGTAGCTCTGAACATTAGATTTTTTTTTCCATGGGGTCAAAAAGGTACCTGAATATATGATTGCAAGTGGAAAATAGGGGACAGAAATCAGGTATTAACCGTTTTCCGTTTTCATTTGTGTGTGAATTTTTTAAACATAAATGCAGGGACATAAAGCATTTAATGCAAGTCAAGGTATTTCAATGAACAAGTTTCAAGCAGTTCGACTTTATATAACAATATAAATAAACCTGTTACATTTTTCTGGACAATGCCAGCACTTGAATTTTTTCAAAACAAGTAAATGTCTTATTGATGGCAACTAAATGGTGTTTGTAGCGTTTTTATCATACAGTAGATTCCATCCATTCACTATACTTTTCTAACTGAGTTGTCCTACATGCAAGTATGTTTTTAATGTTGTCTGTCTGCTGTGCTGTTCCTGTAAGTTTGCTAATTAAAATACATTAAGCTATAAAAAGAAGTAAGTCCAGCCATAAACAACCTTCTCACTCAAATAACCAAGACCTTTAGAAGCCTACAAATCCCAGAAACCACATCTCTCCCCAGAAAAAGCAGAAGACCCGTAGTCTGCTCCTCTCAGAGATGGTGACTGACCAAATGTGGCTTTATGCTGAATTTTGTTTCAAAGATTGAGTGGTGGCCTCCTCCTTCTACAGTGTTTTGCATAAATAAGCACTTAATAAATATATACGGAATGACAGAATCACTTCGCATCTCTTCCCCCACATGAAGGGATGTTGTAATACCTAGCTCCTAATGCAGTCTTTATCCACAGACTAGGCACCACTAAATAATACTGAATTGAAAGACAAAACACTTGTAAATATTCACGATGCCTGCTTTATTTTTTACCTGGAGCTCAACATGGAGCTAAATGGAACTAATACAGTTTTGATAATTACCAAATTAACTAGGCATTACTGTAGTATCTTCAGATGAAATCTTAACTTTCACTTTAATGGAATCCACTTGGCTGATGGACTTGAAGCACTAAGCCACTCTCAAGACTTTTACCAATCAATAAACACTAACAGAGACTAGCACATTGCATCAACTTTATGTGGGTAACATTTCTTTTAGCTCAGTTACCTGTGTTCAGCTCTATCAGAGAACATATCTTAAGGGTTTTAAGTAAGCTTGGGTTTGAATGCCAGCACCTGGACCTACGTATGTCGTTAGGTAAATTACTGAACCTCATTGGCCCTTAGTTGCTCAATTTGTAAAAGTGAGCCTGCAGGACATTGTAAGCCAAATGAAGGGTCTGCCATGTCATGCATCCCCCTTCCAAGAGATATGGACAGACACCATGAGAGGTCAAGGCAGGTCCTTTGGAAGCTACAGCTACATTCTGAAGCTCCTGACTCCCCCAGGGACTGTCACTTAAAAGAATGCAACTCATTATCAAGCAGTTGGGCCAATGGCCTGGTGTGAAAATTCTGCCCCAAACGGGGACATTGCTGGTGCAATCAGAATATCTTGGAAACATGACCTAGGGATGCTAGGGCACAATCAGGTGGAAGCCGAACTCTCTTCTTATTCTGCATCTCACAGCAGCTGCCATCACTTCTGCTTCCCGTTACCACCAAACTTTTTGAAGGCAATTGCTACATTGTTGATTAAACCATGATCAGCAAAACCCTGGCTGTGCCTAAGACCTTTTAAGGGGATTTGCAAGGTCAAAAAGAATTTCCAAATAATACTAAGTCCCCATTTGCCTTTTGCACTTTGTTGACATTTGCACGAACGGTGCCAAAGCAAGGGTGGAAAAGGCTGCTGGAGCCTCAGCATGAGTCATGGCAGGGACACTAAACCGATCCAGAGACCCTTCCACTAGTAGCCATTATATTCCTCACCAACAAGTACTCATGAGGGAAAAGAGCCCGTTTTGCTTTAATGTGTCCTTGGTGAGGCAGTAAAAATTGTTAATTGTATTCATCTCAACCACTAAGACTACACCTTTTTAATAATATCCTTGCATGATGAAATAGGAATTATACATTAAGCTTTTCTGCTGCATATGGAAGTATAATGGTTGTCTGTCTCAAGGGGAAGAATGTGTGGTTGAGTTGCGAACTGAACTAGACACGTTTTCCACGAAAAAAACATTTTTTACTTAAAAGAACAAAGTACTATCATTCCTACTTGGACACTGGGCTGAAATTTTTCAAAACTTAGAATTTTGGAGACGTGCACTTGTCACCATGAGCTTGATAATTTTCTAGCAGTTAAAGGTTTTTCTCAAGGGCTTGGTGGTGAGGTTAAAAAATGTGATCTCGGTGCAGGTCAATACTCGGAACCGTGTGTCAACATTTAGCAGATCTGTGTAACTCAGTGAACCAGTGCCTTTCAAAAGGTCAATGCCTGATTTTACAAAGTCCCCTACAGCTCAAACATTCAGACGAACTGCAAGAAAGACCAATGGATTTTAATGTAACAGAGAACAAAACATCCACTAACATGGTTTCAGGTTCCATACTGCAAATGATCTCCAAAAAATTGCCACTTTTTTGAAGAGTAAAGAGAAATATTCAGCTGCTATTCGGGGTCGTTTATGGTTCCAAATAAATTTTTGAAGTGTTTGTTCTATGTCTGTGAAATATGCCATTGGTACTTTAATAGGTATTGCATTGAATCTGTATATTGCTTCGGGTAGTATGGACATTTTGATGATGTTAATTCTTCCAATCCATGAACAAGGAATATGTTTCCATTTGTTTGTGTCTTCCCTGATTTCTTTCTTGAGTGCTGTGTATTTTCTGCATACAGGTCTTTTACCTCCTTGGTTAGGTTTATTCCCAGATATTTTATTTTTCTTTTTGCTATATCAAATGGGATTTTTTTTTTCTTGATTTCTGCTTCTGCTGATTCATTGTTAGTATGGGAATGGGAGAAATAGACAAAGAAACTGTACTTGAAAAATAACTAAATAAAATTATTAAAAAAAAATAAATAAAAAGAAATATTCACAATTATCTGAAAAGGCTACTAAAATGCTCCTCCATTTCCAACTGTACATGTGCATGAAACCAATTTCTTCAGATGCCTCAACCGAAACATGTTCCAACAGACTGAAAGAGAGGCAGATGTGAAAGTCCAGCTGAATTTCTAGTAAGCCATACATTAAAGAGATTTATAAAAATGTAGTACGATGTAAAAGATTTATTTTCTTTTGTTTTTGAAAATATAACTATTTCTCATTAAAATTTTACTCATGTTAATATGTAATATCCTTCTTACTGTTAATTTAAAGTAAATTTAAAACCCTGGCTGGTGTAGCTCAGTGGATTGAGCATGGGCCTGTGAAGCAGAGGATCGTGGTTTGATTCCCAGTCGGGGCACATGCCTGGGCTGCAGGCCAGTTCCCAGCAGGGGACACACAAGAGGCAACCACACAGATATTTCTCTCCCTCTCTCCTTCCCTTCCCATCTAAAGATAAATAAATAAAATCTTTAAATAAATAAATTTATAAATATATCTTGAATTTCTCAACTTCAATGCCTAATACAGTAAATATAGATAATATTATTCACATAAACAAAAGGAGTGTTCTAACATTTAATCCTACCATTCCCTTAACTGAAATACACTACATGCTCTCAGTTTTCAGAATATTTAAACACCTTGCTTAAAATAGCTAATTAAATGTTTGATTTAACAGTATCTTCTAAAACTTAATAAGCAAATCTCTTTTAGCCCAAGAATTCCACTCCTAGAAAGTCATTCTCCCCAAACAAACATGTGTGACTATGTTCAAGGATGTTTGTGGCAGAATTATTGCAATATCAGAAATATAAGTAAAGTCTAAATGTGAAATAATATGGTCTAGTTAAATATATTACAGCATATTCATAGCAAGTTTGCAGAAAAGAACAAAGTAGAATCTTATTTTTGTTAAAAAATAGTAAATGTAGATATTCTGGTGCATGTACATTTCTGAAAAGATATACATCAAACTGATAATGAAAGGTAGGCCTGGGAATGAGAATGAATTTCTTCAAGAGTTTCATGGTTTTGCTTCCATATTTAGCACTTTTAATATACCTGAAAATTATTTTGTATGTGATATGAGACGGAGGAAAATTTATTTCTAAGTGAACAGCCCATTGCTGCATGAGTTTTCCTCCACGGCCTGTTCTTTCCACACAGATTTGAAAGGCTACTTTTACCCTATAAACTCCCATTTAAACATGGTACTGATACAAGAGTCCATCCTACTCCACTAATTTTAATCTATTCCAGTGTCAGCACCAGACATAGTAACTAAGTACAGCATTAGAGTATATCTTGATATCAGAAAAATCAAGTACCCCCATTATTCTTTTTCAACACATTTTTGGCTTTTTTTTGCATAAATATTTTTCTAGACAAACTTTAGAATTAGTGCATTACATTTCAAAAATATATCAAGTTCATATATTAGTAGAAAAACTTGGTTTTAATAAAATTGATTCTCTCCATTGAGGAATGTGACATGTCTCTGTACTCTGGTCTTTTTTCTCCCTGGTCTTCAGTAATAAAATGTTTTTCATTTGGAACTAAGTTTACTTTAGGTTTTTTAGTTTTTACTATTATTGTGGATAAAATATCCTTTTTTAATTACATTTTAAGACAGATATAGCAGACTTCTGGCCAAGATGGAGGTGTAAGTAGACTTGCTTTGCCTCCTCACACAACCATAAGAAGGGCAACAACCAATCTCAAAATGAAAAACAACCAGAACTGCCAGAAAATTGAACTGTATAGAAGTCTGACCATCAAGGATTTAAAAGAAACATTCATCCAGACGGGTAGAAGGGGCAGAGAGGACACGACGTGGCACGGAGAGGCAGTGGCTGACAGTGGCTGTGAGGCAGGTGCGTGGGCAGCTGTGGAATGGACAGTCCGCATTAAAGTATAGATAAAAAACCAGGAGGGACACCTGGGGAGTGAGTGATCCCAGTCTCAGGCCACACTGTGCACCACAGTGTTCCAGCTACAGGAGAATAAAGCCTCATAGCCTCTGGCTGTAAACCAGTGAGGGTTGGCATGGCAGAAAAAACTGCTGGTCTCTCAGAAGACTCCGTTTAAAGGACCCACAGGGTCCTAGAACAACCACAAACCCACCCACTCTGGGAATCAGCACAAGGGCAGCAACTAGAAGGATGCCAGACGCTTATGGGAAGTGGGGGAAGTGACTGGAAATGGGGCGAGAGCCAAGAAAGTGGCATTGTTTCCTCTCTGACCCGTCCCCCAAGTATAGCACCACAAAGTGATAAAACTGGCCAGTCTGGTGCATACATACCGAAGGCTCCGGCCCTTATAACATAGTAGGTATACTAAGTATGGAAATCCAAGCAGCTCTACCTAATACACAGAAACGCAGGAGTCTGCCAAAATGAAGACGCAGAGAGAGAAGGCCCAAGTGAAGGAATGGATCAAAACTCCAGAAAAAGAACTAAGTGACACAGAGATAGCCAACCTATCAGATGCAGAGTTCAAGGCACTGGTGATCAAGATGCTCAGAGAAATGATTGAGCAGCCACAAAATAAAGGAAGAAGTGTAGGCTATACAAAGTAAAATAAAGAAAAACATACAGGGAACCAACAGTGAAGGAAAGAAAGCCAGGATTCAAATCAACTTTTTGGAATGAAAGGAAGAAATCAACAGTAAACCAGAAAGGAAAAAAGAAACAAGAATTCAAAAAAAAACAAAAAACCCAAAACCAAAACATGAGGAGAGGCTTAGGAACCTCCAGAACAACTTTAAACATTCCAACATCTGAATCATAGGGGTACCAGAAAGAGAAAAGGAAGAGCAAGAAATTGAAAACTTATTTAAAATAATAATGAAAGAAAACTTCCCCAATTTGGTGAAGGAAATAAACATAAAAGTTCAGGCAGTTCAGAGAGTCCAAGTTGGAGCCAAGAGTGCCACACCAAGACAGATCATAATTAAAATGCCAAAAGTTAGAGATAAAGAGAGAATCTTAAAAGCAGCAAGAGAAAAGAAAAGAGTTAACGTCAGAGGAGTTCCCATAAGACTGTCAGCTGATTTCTCAAAAGAAATTTTGTAGGCAAGAAGGGACTGGCAAGAAGTATTCAAAGAGATGAAAAGCAAAGACCTACATCCGAGATTACTCTATCCAGCAAAGCTATCATTTAGAATTGGAGGGCAGATAAAGTGCTTCCCAGACAAGGTCAAGTTAAAGGAGTTCATCACCTCCAAGCCCTTGTTGTATGAAATGTTTAAGAGACTTATACAAGAAAAAGAAACAAAAGTGACAACAAACTCACAACTATCAACAACAATCTAAAAAAAGAAAAAGAAAAACAAACTAGGCAAGCAACTAGAACAGAAGCAGAATCAGAGAGACGAAGATCACATGGAGGGTTGTCTATGGGTAGGGGTGGGGGGGAGAACAAGAAAAAAGGTACAGGGAATAAAAAGCATAGTTGGTGAGTACAGAATAGACAGGGAATAGACAGAATAGACAGGGAATAGACAATTCTTTTAGCTGGGAATAGTATGAGAAGTGGAAAAGCCAAAGAACTCATATGTATGACCAATGGACATGAACTAAGGGAGGGGGAATGCTGGAGGGAAAGGGGGTACTGAGTAGAGGGGGGCAAAGGGGCAAACACTGAGACAATCATAATAGCATAATCAATAAAATACATTAATTTAAAAAAGACTGATATAACTAACAGTTAAGAAAGCTATTGGTTTTTTCATACTTAATTTAGCCGCCTTACAGAAGTTGTATATGGAATGACATGCAGTCATACTCATCTGACTTGTTTAGGGTTCTGTATACCAACAAATGTCACGTGATAAAATAACATAGCTGACACACGCAATGAAACAATAAAAGCATGCTATTCTTAATTCACACCACATTGGCTCCTGAATAAAGACTGCTGCGAGTACTCAAATCCCAACCAGGATATTCCCCCAGAGCCAGAAAAGCAATGCTTTGGTGGCATCGGTAGTGATCCCCTCTATCGGCCAATCACACTCCATAAAGAGGATGCCAAAATGTTACCAAGTTCCAAAGTATGAAATAAAGCAATTCTGATCAATGTCAGAAATATACATTACCTCTTCAGGAACTCCAATTCTTTTAGCTGGGATTGCCTTAATGTACCTTCCAACTACTTCTGGTGTCAAATGACTATAGTTGTCAAAAGCAGTCTGGGAATAAATGATTCCCTGTGTTTAGATATAAAATAGGGACAACATAAAGTACATAAGATTAAATTTTAATTGTAAAGACATCAAGGCAGTCTGCCACCCAATACCAAAAATTAAGTGGTTTAAGTCAATAGAAAAGTTAATGTTTCTAACATTAAATTTTCTCAATACTGTCAAAGAAATACAGTCAACTACTACTATACGTGGATTATCTGAATGCTCCTTTCTTAAAAACCAGTCAAACCTTAATTTAACCTTAGCAATCAAATCAAAGAATATTTCGGACCTAGTTTCAAAGGCCAACCTTTTATAGTATACGTGCATGGTACCGAATATCTCTATCCACAACATAAACAGAGTCAGAAGAGTACCATTTGTTCACCTAGAACATTCACCTACCGGGGCAACACAGTTGAGCCTTACTCCACTTCTGGCCCATTCCACAGCTAAGGTTTTGGTGAGGCTGCAAACACCTTCTCTGGCAGCTCCACTATGCCTTTAAAAGACAAAATATAAACATTATAATTAGCTTTAGTTGAACATTTCCTTCATTAACTATACTGACAGTTGTGCCAATGACCTTGCAGAGCCCCAGGAGGACATCCTTGTCTTGAGGCTCTGTGTTTTTGAGCCTCTGCCCAAACCATGAGAAAGAACCCAGTCTTCCGGTATTAAAGCCAAAGCACCAGAATTAATCTTCTGTAGTAGATGAAACTCCTGGGGAGGGAGTTTATGACAGTAGAGTTACTTTTGGAGGATCTGTCTTCTGGCAGATGAGGGAAATTCAGAGAAAGTCTCTCCCTGCATTTGCTGTTTTTCAAGTGCCAACAGCTCAAAACAATACGTGCAAGTAGCGCTTTGGGGTGGAACATCCTAAACTCCTATAGTCATATTTTGGGGTGGTGTTCTCTGCTAGCCTTCAACTCCCTCTTGCTCATGATGTACAACTGGTTCAGGAGCTCAAATTCGGAGGGTAACTTCTGTCTCTGGTTTTCTACCTGTCTTTCAGTTCTGGTGGTTCCCTCTCTCGGACGGCTACTAGTTTGTTTCTGAATGTGTGACACTTCTTCAGGGGCTCTGTGTCACTGCTGAGCCTTTTCTTGAGAGGCAGGACCTCACATGGTAGCCCTAGGGCTCAAGGGTCTCAGTGGGCAAACACCTTAGGCCCTCCTCACAGAAAAGGGCTTTGTGTGTTGTTTACTGGGTCCCATGCATTTAAAAATTTTTGTGTTCGCATTTTCATTTGTTTCAAGGTACCTTCTATTTCTTCTTGATCTAAATGCTAACCCATTCCTTATTTAGTAACATGTTATCTAGCCTCTATGACTCTGTTTTTCCACTTTTTTCCTGTGGTTGATTTCCAGTTTCATACCACCACTATGGTCAGAGAAGATGCTTGATATGATTTCTATCTTCTTAAGTTTATTGAGACTTGTTTTGTGTCCTAACGCATGGCCAATCCTAGAAAATGTTCCCTGTGTGCTTGAAAAAAATGTATATTCTCCTGCTTTGGGATGAAATGCCCTGAAGATATCAATTAAATCCATCTGTTCTAGTGTGTCATTTAAGGTCACCGTTTCCTTGTTGATTGCCTGTCTGCAAGATTTATCTATTGCCATCAATGGGGTGTTAAAATCCCCTACTACGACTGCATTACTGTCAGCCTCTCCCTTTAAGCCCATCGAGATTTGCTTTACGTATTTAGGTGCTTTTATGTTAGGTGCATGTTTCCCAAAGTTATATTCTCTTGTTGGATTGCTCCTTTTATCATTATATATGGACCTTCTTTAACTCTCACTGTAGCCTTACTGTGTACCGGTTAGGCACTGTAATTTTAGGTCTTGATGAGTAAATGGGTTCTGCAAGTGTCTTGATTACCTCTACTGTTTTATTACTAATTAAGTGAGAACCTTTGAGGTGCTTACTGGCATATATTTCAAGATTTCCACTGTAAAAGACTTTTAAATTGACCTAGAAAAAATTTTATACCATATTTACTGGGCTTGGATGGAATTATTTTCTAAACCCGCACTTGCCTCTAAAGCTAGGTAACATTTCATCTATTGTTACATTCTATCCCATAGAATAATATACTTTACAGTTTTCTACAAATGCGGAGAAAATGACTCTCACGGCCGCTAATTTGTCCACTTTCAGGTGTTCTAAGCAGGTATGTTTTCCCTCAAACCTGTTATAATTATTAATAAATCTAAGTATCCATGAAGATAACTTAGGTCTAAAAAGCTCAATCCCAGTACCACCTGTAGCCCAAACATACTGCAAATGTAGCCAATTACAGCTATAGAAACTAGCTAGATCTAAGAGGCCTAAAAACTCCTTCAATTCGGTTTGTCTAATTCATTTAGCATCATCTTCTCATGAAAACCAGATCAATGTATCTATTTGTATATAGTAAGATTAGATCTAAAATATCATATGTGATAAAACAGTTCCACGTGTCAAGTTCTCTTTTGGCATTTTTTGCATTTGGCTGAACTAACAGAAGTTGACACAAAATATTCTGCAGCTGTGTACTAATTCGTCTTCTTACTGGATTTTTCCTCCATTTTGATTCTTTATCCTTTCCCAACAATTTCATGTCTAATTCATCTTCATTTTCTTCACTATGAATACCTTGCTTGGTATCCAAATCTTCTGAATGAACTCGACATAATCTTTATCTTCTAAATCACTCTCATTTTCACATTCAACTCTATTACCCTCATTATTGGACTCAAGTAGCATTTGCTAAAGTTCTTCAGTAGCTCTTGGATTATTGAATAGATGTTACCACCCATTTTCAACGGTAAATTAGAAAAACCACAACACTGACTACAAAGTTTGTGAAAACTAAAAAAACAAAACAAAACCCCAATTGCACCAACATTGATTTCACAGTTTGTGGTACCTTTCAGATACAATTTACTGTTGAATATCACACACCTTTATGAAACATGCGATGGCTTAAAAACCATGGCTTAACGCTAGTCACATACAAATGTGCAGTAAGTCATAACCTTGAACTTATGCATCTGATATATGTAACAATATTTGAGAGAAGAGTTTGTTTGTATCTCTCAGATCAGCCATGACTTACCCAGGTCTAACATTTCTTGTGACGCTGATTTGGTAGCAACAAACTCTTTTAGCTTTTATCTTGTCTGAGAAGCTCTTTATTTCTCCCTCAGTTTTAAATGATAGCCTCACTGGGTAAAGTATTCCGGGTTGTAATATTTCATCATCACTTTGGGTATTTTGTGGCAATTCCTCTTGGCCTGAAATGTTTCCGTCAAGACAACAATGACAGTCTTGTAGGTAACTGGCTGTTTTTAAGATTCGTTCTTTTCTTCTAACCTTTCCCATTTTAATTATGATGTGTCTACATGTGGGCCTCTTACGGTTCACCTTGTTTGGGAATCTCTGTCTTCCCAGACTGATGTGTCTTTTATCTCACCCAGATAGGGAAGTTTTCAGTAATCATTCTTCAAATTATTCTTGATCCTTTACCGTCTCTCTTCCCCTCCTATCCCTATGATGTGGATGTTATTGTGCTTCATGCTGTCCCGACATTCCTTTAAACTATCCTCATTCTTTTTAATTCTTTTTTTCTTTTTGATGCTGTGATTGGATGTGTTTTCCCTACCTCTTCTTCCAAATCGCTGATTCAATCCTCTGCTTCATATAACCTCTTTTTATTCCTTCCAATGTATTCTTGATGCAATAACATGGTATTCTTCATTTCTGACTGGCACTTTTTCATGGTTTCCATGGCCTTTTTCATATTGTTATAGTTCTGGCTAATTTCCTTGAGCAACCTTATAATCATTACTGTTATCTCTATAGCTGATAGGTCGTTTGCCTCCATTTCATTTATAACTTTTTTTTTTGGAGATTCCTCCTGTTCTTTCATTTGGGGCCTGCTTCTTTGCATCCCCATTTTGGCTGTTTTTCTATTTGCCTCTATGTATTAAATAGACCTTCTTGGACTCCCAGTCTTCATGGAGTGGCCTTATATAGTAAGTGTCCTGTGGGACCTAGTGGTGAAATATTCTTGATCTCCTGAGCCAGGGGCTCTAGGAATGTCCCCTGTGTGGGTTATGTGGGCTTTCCTGTTGTAACTGAGTCTTGGTTGCTATTGGACGGTTCATCTTTGGGACTGACCTTCAGGGTGACTATGAGGCTCAACCCCAATCACCCAACCATGAAGTATGAGCTGCTGTAAAGATGCCAACCAAAAAAAAAAGAAGAAAGAAAAGAAACTAAAAAGATCATTAAGTCAATTTACAATTTAAAAAATTTTGAAAATATATGAAATAAATAAATAGATTAAGAAATGAAGAAAGAATAAGAACACAGAAAAAGAAAAGAGAAAAGTAAAGGGAGAAAATAAAGAAATAGGACAGAAAGAAGCTAAAAATTAAAAAAGAAAAAAGCAGGATTTGCCTTAGCAGGGTTTAGTGGCTAATGAGTTTTCCTTTTTGGTATGCTATGCAGGGTAAAAGGAGTAAGTCTGGCTCCCTCGCCCAGATGTCTGGGCAGCTAAGGGAAGCAGCCTCCCATAACCTTGAGAATGGGCCTGATAAGTGGGGTTCCCACAGCCTTGAGACTGGGTCAGATAAACTGTTCCCACAGCCATGAGTAAGCTTGCATGCGTAGAGTGAAGCTCTGTTGCATAACATCTCAGCGCCCTGCTGGCTTTGTGTCTATGTAGTATATAAGGGAGTTGGGACTTCCTGCTATGCAACATGCAGGGACACGCAGTGTGACATGCAGCTTGTGGCACACATGGATTGCCCCGTCCCAGAATAAAGGCATATTAAGCATCCCAATGGCTCCAAGCTTTTTCTTGGTTGGCTTTCACCAGCACTTGGCAAGGGGACAGGCCAGCAAATGTCCCAAGGCACCAGGGGATCTGCCTCCATCTGCCTCTGCTGGATGGCTGCCTACCAGGCTCAGTCACTGGAGGAAGAGGTGGCATTCAGACATCGGGAAAAATGGTCGGTGTGATACCACGCACCATGCCCACACAACTGAGTCTGTCCCAGATTTTGCCCTAACCTGCCCAGGCAGGACAGAGCCCCTAGTAGTCACGTGAGTGATGCTTACAAAGCCCAGAGGTTGGCCTACCAGATACCTGGAGGGTGTTTCTATTGGACCAGACACAAGGGGGAAGTGCCAGTCAGGTTCCTAGAAAGTTGGGGCAATGGCCCTGCTCTAGGTCAGTCACTGACACCCCCTGAATCTGCCCAGACTTCTATACCCTGGCATATGCTGCTGACTCCTCAGCCAGGCTTAAGATCCACCTAGCGGGGAGAGAAGGGTTCCAGAAGAGTGGAGTAATTGCTCTCCTCTGGGCTGATGCTGCTTGCAGGAAACTGCTCCTCCCAGGGAAAACGGCTACTGGGGTATCTGAGTATGACTCAGCATCTGGATCCCCATGGCTGCCCCCCAGAGCCACAATCCCTAAACTCTCCTCAAGCAACTCTAGCGTGTACCACCTTCCCCTGGCCAGAGCCGAGGGTGAGAGGCTGCAAACAAAATTTTGTGCACTTGCCCCTTCAAGAGTGTGCCTGTAACTTCAGCAGACTCCATGTCTCCTTGGAAATAGAAATCCTGCTGCTTTTCATAGTGGGCTGCTATGTGCATCCCTGTTCCTGGCTCTGGTGCTCTGGGCTGAAGAGGCTGGCTTGGGGTCTATGCCTCCACTTCTCAGGGGCAACCACCCACAGCTGAGTAATCCCTCCAGCCCCTCAGCCCCTGCCTGCCCGTGGGAGTGGAGCCGGCTCTTTTCACATCACTGCCACCCTATCCATCTCATGGCTTCTTGTACAAACCCTTGGTTATAAGATTCCTCTTCAGCAAGTCTCTAGCTGGTTTTTCAGGGTGACAGGCACCCAATTTAGTTGTATTTCCAGTTTAGTCCTTGGAGGGGGTGCATTCAAAATCCACCTACTCCGCCACCACCTTGAAACTCATCAGAACTATATTTTTAAAGTTTAAATAAGCAAAACGCTAAGTATTGAGATCACAAGTCATTAAAGGATTAATGATTTTGGTGTATATGAGGTAACTGCCTAAAATTCAAATACTGTAACCAGTCAGTATGAAAAATAAACAGTCACTGCTTTCTCACTGTGTAACAATGTATCTCTGAGCCTCATCCCATGTTTTGGCTGCAGTGTTCCCAGTGTGCAAAGTCTTTTTGGTATAAGGAAGTTTTTACTAACTCCTATTTCGGTGATGTGCTGATTTACTTTGGCTATTTCTGAACCTTTGACATACAAGAAAAAAATATATAAAAATGCTTACGCAGCTCCTGGAAATCCATTTTTACTAAGCATAGTAATATTGACAATAGATCCTCCATGGTCTTTCATCCAAGAGTTGTAAACTGCAGAAAATAGATAAATGACAGTCACATTAAAGTTTCCTTACTTTCCTCTGATCCCCTGTTCCAGAATGCTGCTTTTGTGATCATTTTAAATTTACATTTTTTTAATAAAAAGCCTGGATTAGGTACAATTCATATATCATAAAATTCACCTACCTTGGATACAATTTAATAATTTTTAAATACACAGAATTGTGCAGCCATCCACAAAGTCCAGTTTGAAAACATTTCCATTGCCCCAAAAAGTTACTTTGTGCCCCTCGGAGCCAAACCCATCCCCTGGCTAATACTCATGCTAAACTCACACACACTGGGGAGGCCCAATCTGAACCCCTTCACTGACTTGTTTAATCTGGGTTTTTTTCCTAGGCCTTTACACAAGAGCACCCACGCCTGTATCACAACTAATACAGAGATTCATGTTGCTAATTAGATAAAAATTCAGCCTGGGAATGTCACCGAGCTGTCCATCCCATGGGCTGGCTACGCGTGGCTCAGGATGGCCAACGACATGGCCGGACACAAAACTGTAAAGTCACTTTAAACAACGTGAGACTTTTTTTGTTTTCATTAGAGTTGGTGTACTTCATGTGTGGCCCAAGACAACTCTTCTTCTTCCAGGGTGACCCAGAGACACCAAAAAGTTGGACACCCCTGGTACAGGAGTTTTGACTTTACGGATACTAATAATACACAGCCTACCCCATATTAAAGATCCTTTGGGTCAGAATCAGACATGTTTTAGTTGTGCATCATAAAAATGCCTTCGAGAGTTTATAAGAAAACCTCTGAGTTAACCCAATGTCAGGAGTTTACTATCACTGCCAATGCAACGTAACCTTTTTTTTTCAATTACACTTTACATTCGATATTGTTTTGTGTTAGTCTCAGGTCTAGAGCACAGTGGCTAGACAGTCACATACCTTTACACAGTTTCCCCTGTATGTCAAGTACTCACTTGACACCATACGTACTTATTACAACATAATGGACCGGAGTCCCTATGATGTACTTTACATCCCACGACTATTGTGTGGCAACCATTTTGTAATACTTAACCCTTTGCCTTTTATACCCAGTTCCCCCCACTTCCCACCCCATCGGCAACCATCAGTCTGTTCTGTGTCTATAAGGCTTTCAATTTTGTTCGATTATTTTGTTCTTTAGGTTCCATGTATAAGTAAAATCATATGCTACTTGTGTTTCTCTGACTGACTTACTACATTTAGTATAATACAGTCTAGGTCCACCCACGCTAATGCAAGTGGTTAAGTTTTCATTTTTTTTAAGGTTGAGTAATACCCCATTGTATATATGTACCAGTGCTTGTTTAACCACTAGTCTATTAATGGGCACTTGGGTGGCTTCCATTGCTTGACTATTGTAAATAATGCCGCGAAGGATATAGGGGTGCATATATTCTTTCAAATTAGTGTTTTGGGCTTCTTCAGATAACCGCCCAGAAGGAGAATTCCTAGGTCATAAGGCAGTTCCATTTTTTATTTTCTGAGGCAACTCCATACTTTTCCCACAGTGGTGCACCAGTCTGCATTCCCACCAATAGTGCACAAGGGTTTCCTTTCTTCCACATCCTCACCAACACTTACTGGTTGATTTATGGATGACAGATGGCCATTATGACAAGCGTGGGGTGATATTTCATTGTGGCTTTAATTAGAATTTCTCTGATGTTTAGTGACGTTAAGCATGTGTTCATATGTCTATTGGTCTGCTCTATGTCCTCTTTTAAGAAATGTCTGTGCGGGTCCCCTGACCATTTTTTAATTGAACAGTTTGCTTTTTTTGTTGTTAAGTTGTTTGAGTTCTTTATAAATTTTGGATATTAAGCCCTTATCAAATGTATCATTGGTGAATATGTTCTTCCATATAGTACGTTGTCTTTTCATTTCATTGACAGTTTCCTTTGCTGTGCAAAAACCTTTTAGTTTGATGTATTCCCATCTGTTTATTTTTCTTTTGTTTCTCTTACCCAAGAGGACAGGTTAGAAAAAAATATTGCTGAGAGAAATGTCTGATGTTTTACTGCCTATGATTTCCTCTAGGATTTTTATGCTTTTTTGAGCCTTACATTTAAGTAGTCTAGTTTCACTTTTTTGCATATACCTATCCAATTTTCCCAACATTATTTATTGACTAGACTGTCTTTACCCTATTCTATGCTCTTGTCTCCCTCCCCATACATTAATTGACCTTATAGGTGTGAATTTATTTCTTTAAAATTGATCTATGTGTCTGTCTTTATGCCAGTACTACCCTGTTTTTATTACAATAGACTTGTAGTATAGTTTGACATCAGGTAGCATAAAACCTACTTTATGAGAACATAAGAACAACTTTGTTCTCATCTCAAAATTGGTGTGGGTATTCAGGGTCTTCTGTGGTTCCAAATAAATTCTGGATTATTCGTTCTAGTTCTGTGAACTACGCCATTGATATTTTGATAGGAATTATGTTAAATCTATAGATTGCTTTGGGTAGTATAAACATTTCAATGATTGAAACATAATCTATAATCCAAACACTATATCAAGATAATTACTTGTTGAAAGAATGTGGACTTTGTCTGGTACTCTTCCTAAAGACCTTACTGAATTAACAGGTCCTTGTAACAGATTTAACAGATTGACCTCTTAAAAATAATGTGTTTCAGTTTTCTTGAATTTTATGAGCAACTTGGTAGCCATATCTTTGCACAGATCCTTAATGATTTTCTCACAATACATTCCTAAAAATAAAATTATATTATTAAAGGATATCCATATTTTATAAACACTGCCCAATTACTATCCAGAGATGTAGCCACTTAAAATCCCGTGCTGTATGGGAGTAACTCAGGGGGGTGAATGTTGACGACATGAAGCTTTCTGAGGCCCTCACGTTTTCTCTTTCAGGATTATCCACGTCCTTTAAACAAAGACACATTGAGTTTGGGTTACTGACCACACTTGCCTGCTTTGCACATGTAGAAGGTGCCCGTCAGGTTGGTTTCAACCACAGCGTGCCATCCCTTCGAACTGATGTTCTCAGCACAATCCATGAACTGGCCTCCTCCGTTGTTTACCAAGAAATTAATCTTACCATAAATATCCAAGGTAGATTTGACCAAATTATTTACCTAGAGAAAAACATTAAAAAGTAAATTAGTTAATAGCCCTAATTTGCTACTTGGACTGATGGTCTGCTTCAGGAGAGCTTATAATCTCTCATTGTGGATGGTAACCCTGAACACTACCATACCCACAGATCACAAAGCTAAATGCATAATTTTGCTTCCCTTCCTCCCCTTCTCAAGAGGTGACATACTCAATAAATCATCAGGAGCAGAATCTCCTTCACAGGCTCTGCTTCTTATGAATGTCATCTCGGACTGCTAACAGGAAAACCTGAAGCACAGTCAGGTTTAGGAACCACCATTATAAATTAAAGATGAATAATGATATAGGTATATTTCCATTACCTCCTCTATGTTTCGGATATTGCATTTTATAGGGGTGATTTGAGACTGGTCGGTGGGAGGCAGGCTGGTCTTCAGTTCATCCGCAGTAGATTTTAATACATCAAACTTACGAGATGCGATGACCACCTTACAGCCTGAGGAGAACACAGCCAATGAACAAGTAAATATGCTTTCATTTGTTGCCCAAATTCCACAAAAAATGTTTAGTATTTCATGTGTTCCTGTAAAAAAGATGAATTAGGGCTTCTGCTTCTGGTCTAGAAGGAGTAACAGGAACCACCTTTATTCTCCAGCCCCAAACCACTGAAAACCTGTACAAACTATATTAAAAACAGGCATTGGACATGAGGCAGCATTGAACAGTAATCTCAGAGAGTGGACACAAGCACAGTGAGCTCTATAATTATTCCAGCTGCTGCCTGGAGAGAGTGATTGGCTGCTGCAAGGAGAAGGCACCTATTCAGAGCCAAGCAATGTCCTGGGTAGAAGAGATCAAGCTAGAAATCTGGGGTGGCCGAGTTGACTAGATTACACAGGTCATAGAGGGAAAAGAGGTACAGCGAGAGAACTCTAGAAATGTACAGTGAGCTCCTCAAGTCTTTAGCTGCACTAAAGCTGCACTTGCATATCAGAGCATGTCAGTGAGGAAACTATCTGAGCCTGGGGAATAGATGACCCAAAATGAGCAGAGAGGGAAGACACCCTGACATTTACACAGCACTGGAAATAGTGTTCCCACCGGGAAAAGCCTTTCACAAGGTAATGGGGTAATGTTCTCAGAAGGCTACGGCCTCAGTAATGCAACAAAATTAGTCCTAAAGACTATTCGAGTCAATGATTAACATTAAACCATACTCTTTTTAAAGTATCAAACTGTTTCCAAGTAAATTAACTGCATCACAGAACAAAACTCAATAATATTTATAAGAATATAGAAAGAACAAGCAATCTACAAGGCAATATCAAAATGCATGGCATATAACAAAAAACTACCAGGCATGCAAAGGAGCAAAAACTACAAGCCAGAATGAGGAGAAAAGTCAATTATTAAAAACACACCCAAAAAGGACAGTAGTGATATCATTAAATAAGACATGGATTAAAAAAATCTAAAAGCCAGAGAAAAAGAACACATTAAGTACAGAGCAAAAGAAACAAAAAGGACAGAATAATTTTTCTCTGAAACAATGCAAGCCGGAAGGCAATGGACTATCTGGAAAGTGTTGCTGAATTACCCACCAAAATTGAAGTTCATGTACCTGATGTACTAGTAGGCCAAAACATTGAGACAGCAGTGCTTGGATATAGAGAGAAGTTTACTTGAACTAGCCAAGTGAGGGGACAGAAGAGCAAGACCTCTCAAAAAGTGAAACTAGGGAGTTTTTATGTGGCTAGGGGGCAAAGGACAGGGAGTTTCAGGGAACCCAGAAGTAAGTCCAAGTTTCTTTAGTCACAAACAACACTGTTTTGTATCAGATACCATGTGGCCCTGGAGCTATCTTCTCTTGCTTGACAAACAGTATATTAACACACAAAATTATATTGAGAGAACAAGGAATACTGGGGTGAAAAACCAGGATTCTATAAAATACCTTTTAATTGTGTGTCAGTGACCCTAACTTTAAGAGAAAAGCTGAAACTAGATATCTTGTAACTACCACCATTGTTTATGCTATCATTGTTGTATGCTTAACTATCTGTTATTTTCCTATTATCTCAAGCAAAGTGACTCTTAAAAATTATTTATTGATTTTAGAGAAAGAGAGGAAGGGAGAAAGAGAAACATCAATTTGCTGTTCTATATATTTATGCATTCGTTGGTTGACTCTTGTATGTGCCCTAACAGGGGATTGAACTGGCAATCATGGTATATCAGGATGACACTCTAATAAACTGAGCTACTTGGCCAGGAAAAGCAAAGTGTCTTTTAAACATTTCTAAAATTTGCTTTACAGGCAGTCCATTAGAACATGACTAAAATACTTTCTTAATCTTTGTCTATAAGCTATGTAACAATGAAAGCAATCAAAACATTTAGTTAAAGCCTATACCTAAAACCTAAGTAAGAATTAAATCATTTAATTCTAGCTGTAAAAAATATTAGGGGCATTAAAATCATAAGGACCTCAGCTACAAAAGTACTTCAGTGCAAAGGTGGATGGGGTGGGGTTTATGCATCTGGACATCTTGACCCAGTGAAAATGGCTTTCCAAAATAATAGCAAAATAAAAACTTGTTCACATAAATAATAGCTAGAAGACACCATTAAACCAGACTTGCACTACAAAAAGAACTAGAAGAAGTCCTTCGAGCTGGAAAAACAAAACTACCAGATGAAAACCTAAATCTACAGGAGAGAACCAGAAATGGCAATTACAGTGATAAATATAAAGACTTTTCTTGTTTCTATTCAAATCTTTTCAAAAAGTGTTGACTGTTTAAAGTAAAAATGATAACAATGGATTGTGAGATATATATATGTATATATATATGTGTGTGTGTGTGTGTGTGTGTATATATATATATATATATATATATATAAATAAAAGTAAGATACATGAGAACAGCAACATGAGAGCCAGGAGGGGTGAAATATAAGGACAGGAAGTCCTTGTTTTGCTCAGCTGTAATATGCACTTGTTGGGAACCATCCTGCCTGGTTTCAGAGGTTGTAACCCTGCCAAGAGGCGAAAAGGCCCCATGGCCAGGGGACCTTGGGACCATAAGCCACAAAGGAGACAAAACTTACCCTCAGGGCAGGGGTACAACCTCTGCCCCACTTACTTCACCCTGCTTAGCCCCGGGCAGATGACTGGTTAGCCAATGACAGGTAAGAATCCTTCAGGGAGGGACAACCTAAGATAGGCACAGTCACGAAGAGGCCATCAGGGAAGGACTTAGGGCATTGTGAAGAAGGGAAAAAAACTCTCATCCCTCGGCTTTATCACAGCCTGAGTCCTCATTCTATTTGTAAAAATTCTCCTAATCTCTTGGTTCCCTTGCTTCCCCTACCTGATTCAGGTCTGAAACAATGCCTAAGGGGGGGGGGGGTGCATCCCTGTGTCTAAACCAACGGTTTCCAGTGAGGGGTGATCAGGCCTAAGAAAGAATGCATAAATCCTGTGAAACCTGCTTTCATAGGTTAAGGTTCAAGCACAAAATAAGTTTGTTTCCCAAGGTTCTACAGCCGATTAGCATCACCCTGTCCACCAGACCCTGACTCAAACGAACCCCCTTGATCCCAGAAACGTTCTTTGTAAACCACACCTCCTTTCTTTGATATGCATCCCTTGCCAGCTAAAGCCGATAAAGGCCCATTGAGAGAAAGGCTAAACACCTTTCTCCTCTGAGAGACTGGTCAGCCTTCTTCCCCAAGCAGATCATGTTTTGGTAGAATTATTCCCATCCATGGCAGCCAGGGGGAGCTCTACTGGTGGAGCTGCCCCCTCCCCCCATCATGCATTAATTTCAGTTACTTTAGCTTATTAAATAACACCAGTTCCCCACCAATATGGTTCAAATTTCTGTTACCATGGTGTATTAACTGAGAGATGCTGCATGATATACAAACCTCACCACTAGCTCTTCAATCCACAAATCACCATGAGAATAAGAGATGCACATGATGATCAGTGATTAATTATGTCACTTCTTTCAATGTCTGTCAGTGATTGGTTGCTCTGCATCTAATTTCACACACAGCAAAATACGCAGTTGGATTGCCTTCTTGTCTCTCAATGATAAACCCGTGTTACATTTCACAAAAAGGAGTGACTGAAAGATAGATTGAGAGATAAAACAAAAAAAGGTATGGCTGATCCCAGAGTACTTGAAAAAATAGCAACTAACACTGCAAGTGAAATTAGAATGGAAGTAAATGGAGTTAGAAAAAGAATAGCTGCCCATGGGGATACTGACGCTTCCACCAGTATTTTCCTTAAATGAAAATACTAAGCTTTGCACTGGCCCATGTGGCTCTGGTGTTGGGCACTGTCCTACTGATGGATTAAAGGGACATTGAGAATCCTCCTCGTTTATGCCCAAGCCATGACCTGTATTGTAAGAATAAAATATAGGCAGGTGTGCTCTTTCCCAAGGAAAACTGACTCTTCTCCTCAGGAGATGAATACTTTTGACATCTAACTGTTCCTTCAGGGAGAACTGGCTCTTCTCCCAGAGGGACCTGTTGGTTAGTCAAATCACAAAAGGCCCTGGAAATGTAATCACTTTTGTCTAAAATATATTTAACCACAGCCCCCCAAAGTGAGACTTTGGAATCTCACCCGAGAGAAGGACACTTCGCTCGAACTTTCCCAGTTGGACGCCGAACGCTGTCTCTGGGATTCCCCAGCATCGATACTTGGGTGTTGGTGAACTTCCGTCTGACAATGTATGATCTTGATTCTTGCTTTCACTTTGCTCTCACTTAATAAAGTGCTTTATTATTCATATTTGCCTTGGGGTTTTTATTGACTGCTAATCCGAACCTCCCAATGAAGTGGCCATAATCTCATACGTGCCCCTTAATGGCACATCTATACCCTGAAAGGTCGCCAGTTCAATTCCTTGTCAAGTTGCATGCCTGAGTTGTGAGTTCATTCCCTGGTTGGGTGCATATGGAAGATACCAACTGATGTTTCTCTCTTGAATTGATTTTTCTCTCCCTCTCTTCCCCTCTTTCCAAAACCAATAAACATGCTACTACTGAAGGGCATCTTGTAATAACAATAAGAACCACAAAGGTTAGTCAAAACTCAAAATTGGTTATTGATAGGTTGAGACTATAACAAGCCTAGTCACTAGAACAAGAAAAAAGTGCTGTCTTGCCTCATGATTTCTTACTTTAATTTTTTCCACTGTACCTAACTTCTGCTGAGGTCACAGACAGAGAGTGATTAACTCAAGGAAGAAGAAGAGGAATTGACTCGAAATCAGCTTGAATAATCTTAGGTAGTCCTTGATGAAATTGTCACTCCTTGTCTAACAGCATCCGTCTAACAAAGAGGTTCCAGTCCTTTTCATTACATCCTGCTCTTGAGAGGTGGGACTTTTAACATCCTTTCAGAACAAGGAACAGTCAAGATCATTTGATTGTGTAAGACAACACAATAATCAGCATTCAAAAAAACATGTC